AATCCCAGCACTTTGGGAGGCCAGGGTGAGAGGATTGCTTGAGCCCATGTGTTCGAGACCAGTCCGGGTAATTTGGTGAGACCTCATCTATACAATAAATAAAAAAATTAGCTGGGCATGGTGGCACGTGCCTGTAGTTCCAGCTACTTGGAAGGATGAGGTGGAAGGATCGCCTGAGCCCAGCAAGTCAAGGCTGCAGTGGCCGTGAGCATGCTGCTGCACTCCAGCGTGGATGACAGAATGAGACTCCAACTCAAAAAGAAAGAAAAAAAATACTGCTTCTTGTCCCAAACTGCTTTAAACAATTCAATGGCTCTCTGTTGCTTAGTATTAGGTGGATGCAGAAGTTCATAGTGTGTATTGGCATAGCAATACTGTGGTGTTGGGTTTATCATTTGTCATTTGTTGTGACAATGTTGTGCTTGTGAATACACCTTGCATTTTGCAGATTTGAAGAAAGTCAGTGCTATTTATGGGCTAAGGAAGATGGGGTGTCAAGTGGAAAAAAAAGAACGCATTAGAGATACAACAAGGTTGGACATGAAATAAATGTTAAAGTTGAATAATGGGTACACTGGGGTTCACCAAACTATTCTACTGTTGCATATGTTTGAAAGTTTTCATATTAAAAGATTAAAAAATATATACAAGGGAGGACCCAAAAACCCCAGTATTTATCGATAAAAAATTGTGTATTTATTCTTACATGTTTATACTTCAGTCACCTTCAAAGTACTCTCTGTTTAATACAATACACCTATTGGGATGCTTTTTCCACTGCTTGAAACAGTTTTTGAACTCAATTTTGATGACTTTTAGTCATCAAAATTTCTGCCATTTTCCCCCTACCTATTCCACATGGGCAAAATGTTTCTCATTGAGGACTTTTCCAACTGGGGAAACAAAAGATAGGATGAGATAGGGTGAGTAGGGAGGGTGGGGTGCAGGGTTCATGCTGTTTTTGGTAAAAACAAAAACAAAAACAAAAAAACAACTGCTGAACGTTGGCCGGGCATGGTGGCTCAGTCTATAATCCCAGCACTTTGGGAGGCTGAGGCGAGAGGATTGCCTGAGCCCAGGAGTTCGAGACCAGTCTGGGCAACTTGGTGAGACTTCGTCTCTACAATAAATTATATATACACACACAAAAACAAACAAATAAACAAAAAAAAACTAGGTGGATGTGGTGGCGTGTGTCTGTAGTTCCAGATACTTGGAAGGTTGAGGCGGAAGGATTGCCAGAGCCCAGCAGGTCGGGGCTGCAGTGGCTGTGAGCTTGCCACTGCACTCCAGCCTGGGAGACAAGACTCCA